ATATTGCTTTTTTAGTTTTAGGGCTACCGCTGGACAGAGCGCGGCAGCCATGAGCACGCGTTTGTGTTACTATTTGTGCAATTGAGTGCACTCTATTGTGCTTTTGTTTTTTTTATTTAAGCCCGATCCTTTTTCCTTTCTTGCATGCGGTGTGCTATTTGCTTACTGTATTGTGTATTACATTCGTTACGTCAACCCAAGACCTGCTGGATAAAAGTATAGGCAGGAGGTGTTTACCTAGACTCTTAGATATACAGTTCTTTTTGAAACTAGTGAATGCTTATAGCAATATAGAAAAAAAAGGTAAAGTTAGAAAGTATGCCCAGTATGTAACTTACAAGATAGTATATTATTTGTTTCTGCTAGGATTCGCTTATATGAGTAGTTTCTGTTACTACACACTGAAACCTGCAGAGTCGGCTGTAACGCCAATGAGCCGAGCACAATGACACGGCGCCAACGCTTCACGGCCTTTCACTGACTGCACTCACACACCTGATGACTGACTACACTACCGTCCCTCACACTTCTTCTTCTCGCTACAGGACGGCACTCGCTCACTGATTGATTTGGCCACTCGCCATCAGTAACAGTTCACATCGAGTAGAATCCATCTTCTGTAGAGTTAAAGTGTTCACTGTGTTCACTGTACGTCTCTGCCAACGGATGAGACCTGAGACCACTGTGGACTCTGGTGGACCTGGATCTGGTCTGTGTCTCTGGTGTACCACATGTTGAACCGCCGCTCCACAGCCTCGTCCTCCAGCACGAAGGTTTGAATCCTCTCCGCTCTGCGATCATACGTCCGTCTCCTCGTGAGCTCCACTCTTCTTCTGCAGGTGGATTTTACGGGAGCACGTCTCTCAGGTGCGGCGAGGACTTCCACGTGCCCGAGTGTCCGCCGCGGCAGCTCCACCTGACCCTCATCTGAGCGCCCGAGTGGAACGCCTCCTTCTCGTGGATGGGCTGCCCGCAGGTCTGACACATCCTGAACAGCTCCATCAGGCTGCGGTTGTCGACCACGGTGCAGTCTTCGTCCTCGTCCTCGTCCGACGTCGTTCTGGAGTTGAACTCCGGCTCCGACTGGAAGCTGTCATCCAGTGGGTCCACCGACACCACGATGCAGAAGCTTTCGTCGGACGCAGCCGCCGCCGCCGCCGCCGTCGGTGTCTGCGAGGAGCTCGCTGCAGCGCCGCACGCCGTCTGAAAGGAATGACCACAGATACGAGACTGACAGGCGACGCTTTAACTCTCTGCAGCCTCCTCCATACCTCTGGAGAGTAAAAGCTAATTATCTCAATTCTTAATTTTTAATTTTATCAGAATTTTGACTTAACATTAAATAATTTTATTAT